CAGAATTTGGTAGTTGTTGTAGTTTATTTTATGTTTGTTGTTGTATTACCCATGGTGATGTTATATTAGTGTAATCAAGTTGTTATTTTTATTATACAGAGACAGTTTTTTAATTGCACGTCAAAAGGAGATGGTAGTCACGGTGCCTCAGTTCGATGGTACATGGTAAAAAATAGCAAAAAAAAATTCACTGGAAAATAAGAGTAGGTAAGTTGAGTTGTGTTACTGCCTTATCATTTTAGACATCAAATGAGCAACATTTCCAGCAAAGCTGCTGACTGGTTTGCTATTTAAGTTTCAAGATTCTTGGTGATTGGTTTGGTCAAATCGACCTCAACAAGAGACGTCAGGTTTATGAGGGTCATGTTAAATGTCAGTAGAAGATGCAATTCTCTTTCAATTATTTCGTTCATTCATATAAATTGCATTATGATAAATGCCAATGTTATTTAAACAAATTATACAGATAAAAAAAAAGTTGTAAGTGACTGTATACTAGTAGGTGACATTGAGGCACAAACAAAAATTTTGTGCTGGCTGGTTACCTTTGTTTTTATACTTATTTTGTTTAAAAAATGTGAATTTCATTTTACCAAATTACAAATTCCATATTTATAATAAGGTGTTTATCAAGATAGCTATATCAGTGTACGATTTTCTGTTGTATTATTATTATTAATAATACACCTGTAAATTAACACATCTGATGCAACAGGGAAGTAAACTATGTACTGATTACATAGGGTCTAGTACGCCAGTACATGTAGAATCATTTCTATACTAAATTAGATTAAATATGAAAACTGGATACCTATTAGGACAACCACAAAAATACATACAGAAATCTGACAATATTATGTAGTACAATGTAGTCATACCGAAATAATATACAGAAAGGAGCAGTTGATAAGTGGAGTCCAATGGCTCTTCATCAAATACTAATGATTATCAAGTACTATTTTCTATTTATCTTTCACAATGGTTGATTTTTTTTGTTAACTGTGAAATATCACGTATAGACTGAAATGCATGAACCTGGCACTAAAATCAAATGATTTGATTTTTAACATGAATTTCCTTTTTTTTATATCACAATATCGAACTGCTGGTCTTTTTGAGAGGAATATGGTGCTGACAACCACATACTACTTTATTAAGACTACTACATTTTCAGCTGGTCAACCAATTTTGATATTTTAATTTCATTCCAAACATGTGACTACATTTATTGTTATCCCTATCAAAATTTAAATAAAATTTACACATGTATTTTTACATTTGTTTATGTTGGGCAGTGAAGGAATTCAGGGGTTTTTCTAGAAAAAAACTGCAAGAGAGAGCACTGCAATTTAGCGTCGCCACCAGGTGGAGGAGATAAAGTTCTCCCTACCAGGGTGTGGAGTTTTTAATAATAATAAATTAAAAAGGAGCATTCTATGGCGTTCTATGGCCAAAATTACTATCAGACAGGTCACAGTTGAAGACTGTGGCCACATGTGATCCCTGGGCATTCAGAATTTGATGGTTGCCAGAGGATCTGCTCCCCATGGTAATGGGAACATGGCCATGGCATGAGGGTGCTGCACCCCTGATCCCTTGTTTAAAAAAATCTCTGGGATTGAATGTTTACCTAGGGCGGTTATGTTTGCTGTAAGCATGTTTTTCTTTTTCTTAGCTCCTAAGGAGTCCAGGGATTTGTAACTGGATGGCGATAAAAAAATTTAGTACAGAATGTTATAATTTATACATAATATGCAAATTAATTGGTTAGTAGAAGATTACTCATTAGTAACCAAGGCAGATTGTTCTTAATTAATTAGCAGGTTGCCGTTGGGAATCTTTTACGGTTTTTAATGGTTGGTCGATACAGAATATGAAAAATAGTGAAAATTCACTGATTTTTTGCACATTATTCAGGGAATAAATTATGACGTACTGTTCACTATTGCGTAATAACAACGTAATGGTGAGGATATACAAAAATAGTTTTTCTCTGATAATTAGACAATACATGTCTTTATGTGACATTGCAATTGTAACCACCCACATATTCAAAATGAGCCGCTTGCTGATTGGATAATGGTGAACTATCTCATTAATATTAACTAGAAGTAATTGGTCAATTTGAATTCTCATGTTCATTTTGATTTATAAAAATGTATATTTAATAATATAATGACCACAACTTAATGCCCTTCACTTCAGTGAATTTCATGAAAATTTTCAATAATTACAAATATTTATAAAACAATTTCCCTGCCGTGTATCTGTTAACACATTGTGATTGGTCAAGTTGTTTTAAATCATTATTTGAAATGTTTTAAAACAAATATATAACCTTTATGCCTTTATGAAATTCAAATCCCATTCCCTTCATTCCAACCAACCAATCAATAAGCACATACGATAGGACATATACGCACAATGAAAAAGTGGAACTGTATCAAATATTAGTAATTAATTCTTATCCTGAGATATATTTACCGTTCATAAAAATTAATATCTCCATCATATTAACTGAAGAAATTTGCCACACACGTTTCATTCCAGGAGACTGACAAATATCCTTCTTGTCTGAAACATTGGTTTCTAATGCACTTATTGTTTCAGAATTCTCATAATTAAAAGCTGCACTTGATGTTACTGGTGAGCCGTTAAAATGGGGTGTGGAGCATCCAGAAGTTTGAGCTATGAAGCCGACGCAGAGCAGCTGTGGGAGAAAGTCACACGCACCATTGACGTCAAAAAACGTAGTGGTAAAGACCAGAATCTGGTTGAGAGAAGAACCGGTTGGAAAATTATTAGGATTTTTGTTTCTTCAACTTTTAAAGATTTCCATGCAGAGAGAGAAGCCCTGATTAAACAGGTGAGGTACTAGTATTAACCTTTTCACCACCAGATTTTCTTGCCCAAATTGAACTGAACTTTTTTTCTTATATTCTTCAATAATCTGGAAATGAACCCTAATTTTGGAGCCCAATAGAAACAAATTTAGTCCATGTTCATTTTTTATTTAAAAAATTTGGTTATTTGTGTCCCAATTTTCTGAAAGAAAGTATAAATGGGACTTTTTTAGTGAGTTTAGAACTGGTGGTGAAAAGGTTAAAGTGCCTGTGAAATGGCTGCTATTTTCATGCCTAAAATTATCCATTGATACATAAATATTATTATTTTTTCATGAATTATTTTTTTAAGTGAAAAAATGTGTTTTAAACTCAATCTACAGCAACTTTATTTTTGTGTATTTTAAAACGAGGCTCCTCATTAGCTTCTTCTTTGCATACAGAAATTCCCCTTGTGACGTCAGAAGGACAAAATAGAATTTGACGTCGGAATTATCTCGTTATTTAGCAGGTTACTAGGCACGTCACTACACTGTTTTATTTCATCGATCGTCTGAGTAAAACTTTCAAAATTAAAATAAAAGAGAACATATTTTGACATTCTAAACATTAGACCATAGTGATCACTATAAAATAATTTAAAAAAGACAAATCACAGTTACTAAATAAATGACAGCCGCGTGGAAATAAATTGAAATTTTGTTGAAATAGGTGAACGCGTCGGGTCACGGCGAGGGAAAGTGCGTTAAAAGCGGCATTTAATTAGATAACAAAAATAATCGAGATCGACACACATACAGATAAATTCAGAGTGGATTCGAGTTACCGTGATCCATGGCATTATTGTCATAATTATAACATCATATTAAAACTTTATTTGGTGGAAACACATTGACCAAGCCCGGATTCTTATTTCATAAATTATTACGCAGATCAAGCTCCAAGCATGGAGGTAAAACAAGAACAGAGGTGTGAATTCGACATTCAACACCAAT